CTGATTTCTGGAACCAGACAGAATAAACCTAATTGATCCATCTTATACAAGACATCCCTTCCAATACCTGACATGAAACATCACATTCCTTCTAAGTCTGCTCTTCTGAGGCTAAATATCCCTAGTGCCTTCAGCTGATCCATAGTTGAGCTTTAAGTTTTTTTGCTATCCTAGTTGCCATCTACCAGATATTCTCCAGCTTGTAAATGCCTTTATGCTAAAATGTGGCTAAAAGGAATGAATATTCCAAATATGACCTGACATGGGCAGAGTACAACGGGATTATCCTCTTCCAAGTCTTTGACAGTAGGCCTTCCCCCCTTCTTTTCTGAATTAGCTTTCTTCTATTAAAATCTATACGATCTTATTACATGAACTTTCTCTCTAGCTTCCCCCTGTCTTGCACTAGAGAAGTTTACTTTTTGGAATTAATTAACCAAGCATTTAGTAATGCCTGCTTTGTACTGAAAACTGTACTAGACTAGGAATATAAAGACAAAAAATAGATTACCTTCTGTGGTAGAAACAACATGTATGTATAATACAAAATGTACAGAAATACAAGATAATTGGGAGGGTCCAGCTGACCACTAATGTCACATCTGCAACTGACTTTCAGACATCTTAAATACAGTATGTCCAAAACGAAACTCATTATCTTTCCCCTTAAATGTCATAGTCCTGTTCTCCCCCCCTTATTGTAGAGGGCAGTCCCTCAGACTTACAATCTGGACTTATCACTGTCTTTCTCTCTGCTCCCTTCCTTCATCCACACTGTTGGCAAGGCTTGTCTTTGGCCTTTGCAGCATCTCTCATATATCCCTCTTCTCTTCTGACAGTGCCAGCACTCAAAGTACAGGCCTTCATGATTATTGTAATAGCCTACTGGTAGGTCTGCCTCCAGTCCCTCCCCACTCATCCATCAATCCATCTTCCATTCAGCTACTAAAGTGATTTTCCTAAAGTCCAAGGCCAGTCATGTCTCCCTTCACTTCCCCCTCTCCCCCCAAAAAAAACAAACACAAAAAACAAACTCTAGTGGTTCCCTGTTACCTTCAGCATCAAATACAAAATGCTCTTTGGTATTCATGGCCTTTTATAACCTAAGCCCCTTCCATTTTTCCAGTCTTCTTACTACTCAGCACATATTCTTTGATTCAGGGACACTGGCCTCCTGGCTATTTCACAAACAAAACTGTCTATCTCTCAGTATGGTCATACTTTCTGGTTGTTTCCCATGCTTGGAATACTCTTCTTCATCTTTGCCTCCTGGCTTTCCTGGCATCCTTTAAGCCCCCAACTAAAATCCTGCCTTCCTCAGGAAGCCTTTCCCAACGTGTTTTAATTTTAGTGCCTTCCTTCTGCTAATTATTTCATGTTTATTTTTATGTAGTTTGCTTTGTATGTATTTGTTTGCATGTTTACCCCATTAGGTGATAAGCTCCCTTAAGGGCGAGGACTATCTTGTCTCCTTTTTGTATTTAAATATTTTGGATACATTGGGATTTAGCACCGGGCCTGGCACATAGTAGAACTTAATAAATGTTGATGAACAGATTGAGCATTAAGAGATTCTGTGTTAAATTTCATTTTATTAGATTTGTTCTAGTGATCTAGCCTGACAGGGCTATACTTTTTTGAAATCTGTGATCTAGTGTTGTAGATATTCCTTTCAATTCTGTGTCACCACTAACTTTGATACTTTTATCCAAGTCATTAAAAAAAAACAGAACCTGTTAGAGAACATAGTTATGCAGAAATCTTGGGGCAATCCACTGAAAATCTACTTTTAAAGCAATGTTGAACCACTAATGACTATTCTTTGTCTCTTACCATTCACACAGTATTTATCTATTTATCTATACAGTTGAGTGGCCCATGTTGTTCCATTTTATGTAGCAGAATAACATAAGAGACTTCGACAGTGCCAGATTACTAAAGCATTTGATAATTAGTATCCATTTATTAAGTGTCTACCCTCTACTTACTATGGTGCTAGGTACTAGAGATACAAAGACAAAACTGAAACAGCCCTTGCCTTTAAGGAGCTTCTCATTTTAGGGGAAATATACACATAGTTACATTTGGGAAACTGTGATTTCTTTGTTCATAGGGGAAATTTTATTCAGGATCTGATTTTTCTCTCAGAGAAGAACTGGTTACTGAGGTAATAAATGAGAAGGAAATCGAGCATGCACTCTGGATTATGGGAACATAGATTTCAGTAGGATTGGAGGAAACGTGCAGAATCCATAGACTAAAATGCTTCAGTGGAGTCAGTCTAGGAGGAATGGGAGATACTCCAGAATGAACTTCTGAAGATAGAAAAGGAAACATTTCCAACAAGGAGGGGAAATGGAATATATCTGAAGAGACTGATGTGAATGCACAGTGAACTCAATAACCAACTTAAATTTTAAAAAAGAAATATATGAAAGATGAAGATAAAAATATAGCACAGGCTTTTTAAAAATAATGTAATAACCAGGGATGCTAAAACTTGGAGTGAACTGAGTCTGACAAGAAAAGCTAAGGACAAAAAAAAGCTGTAGTTTTTCTTTGGGGGGAGGGTGTTACTGTTTTTCGATTAAGATTATATTAGGAGGAAAGAAAGGATTAGTTAGGATCTTTACTTGGAGTAGATGTGATGATGCTGTCTGACAACAGAAGAGAAAGCAGAAATGGATCGATTTTTTATTTTGTTTGTTTTTTCTCTACAAAGGAGAATGACCTTTACACTGGAAATGAAAGAATAAAACTGCCTTACAGGGAGTTAGTTGGTGACCCAAAATAAGAGAGAACTTAGCTGACATTGAGGAGTTCAAGGCACCTGATCCAGATAAACTACATCCTTTATTCCAAGAGGAATTGGCAGATGTGTTTGCAGAGCTCTTCTTAAAAGATGATCAAAAATGGCCAAGATATTGGAAAATTGCAGAACAAATGTCCTAATTTTTAAAAAGGTAAAAGAACAGAATCTGCAAACTATAGGCCAGTGAACTTGACTTTAATTCCTGGGAAAATTCCTGAAAGGATCATTAAAGAGGGGCTGGCAAATAACTAGCAAAGGAAGCATAAATATTAGCATGGGTTCATTAAGAACAAGTCATGCCAGTCTAACCTCATTTCTCCTTGCTTGATAGGATTACTAAACTAGTAGTTGAGGGCAGTGGTATGGATATAATTTCCTCAGATTTTAGCAAAACTTTTGGTGAAGTATCTCATACTGCTCATGTGGATAAGATAGAAAGAGATTAGATGAAAATATAATTGCCTAGGTGGCCCGACTCAGAATTAACTGTTAGTGGTTCGATGTGAACAAGGCAGGTGGTTTCCAGTATATTACCCCAAGATCTGTACTTGGCTCTGGTGATTTCCCTTTGGGTTTTCCTTCAGAATTTCATGCTTCAGACTTTCCCATTCTTTTTTGGCTGACTTTTCCCCAAAGAAATTTAGTCCGTGGGATCTCATCTATCTTTCTTCTTATCCTTTTGAAAATCTGCTCTCCTGGCATCTATTCCTCTTTTCTTATTTATCACAAGATCTGAGGTGGAGTGATTACTGTTCCCTATGATTCGTATCTTTTCTATCTAGCAACCAGTTGCTCCTAGTTAGAATTAGAGGGTAGGATTTTTCATTTTTTTCCCCCACTGATGATTCTTCTGCATTTTAAAGGATAAAAGTGTCATTAAGGCAACTCGAAAGCATTAGCAGCTCCAAAAATATACTCCAAAAAATGTTGAGAAAATTGAAGTTTTTCATTACTGCTCCAGAGGTGTGCAGATTACTTGGGATAAAGCAAAATTACATTTTTGGCATACGTAATAAACCCTAAAACTTCTTACATCTTTCTACATTTTAATATGTCCTATAGCCTTCCTGAAATCTTTTCACCATCATCCCCAGTTTTCTGTTTCTCTTGCTGTATCCTCTTCTCCCTTGTCCCTTTAGTCCTATCCTCCCAATTTATATTTTAATCTATTTTTTATACATTGCCTCCTTTCCCACTACTGACAGACATGTTCATTAGGAATGCATATATTTTTTTGAGGAAGCCCATTGTTCTGTTTTTTTTAATAGTTCTGGTTGTCCTTAGAAGTAGTGTGGTATAGTGGAAAGAACACTAGACTTGGATTCAGGAGACTCCAGTATAAAATCTGCCTATTGAACTTATTAGCTATGTGGCCATTAGCAAGTAACTTAATCTCACTGAACCTGTTTTCCTCATTTATAAAATTGAGATACTACATGCACTGTGTACATCATTGCATTTTGTGAAGACGATGCATGATAAACTATAAGGCACTTTCTAAATGTGAGTTAGTTTTTATTTCTCATGCTGAACCTAAATCTGTTTTATAATTCTCTCTTTTCTCTTAATTCTGTCCTGTACTATAGGACAGCTCACCTACGCAGAATAAGGAATAAATGATGGAATAAAATGATCATGTCATTTAGTACCACCAAATCTTTCAGAGTTGTTATCTGTAAACTTTGTTCTTCTTTTCTGTAAGGGGATTGGAAAATGTTACCAACACTAAGATTTAATGATGTTCTGATGAAGTTCAAACATTAATGTAAAATGCAGCTCTGACATTCTCTGATTCCAGATATTTCTTCCAGGGAACCTATTTGTCGAAAAAGAAGTGAAGGAACTTCATCCATATCACCCAGTCAATTAATGAAGTAGTAATAGACTCAAGGAATCTTATAGATCATGCTACCATGATCTGTATATAGTGCGTGCTCGCTCTCTCTCTCTCTCTCTCTCTCTCTCTCTCTCTCTCTCTTCTCTCTCTTTCTAGTTATATACAGCATATAGCTGTATATAGCAGGAACATAAGAATTAACTGCAGAAAAAAATTTCAAAATAAATTTACCAGGTTGCCTGGAAAATTTATTGGATTACCGAAAATGTAGTGCCTCTAGGTTTGCCATCTCTTTCAAACTTGAGCTGTTAAGGCTAACTAATATCATCCTCATCTGTTTATATTTTACAGTATAATTCCATTCTCTTGGGTACTATCCCTCCTAAGCACCATTAGTCAGAGGAAGGCACAGAGGTATGAAGTTTTTCCATTTTCTGTCTATTTTTATTCACTCTTGTTCATTTTTATCCCTTTTCTTTCAGTCATACTTTATATTCATTCACCAGTGTTTCATGCTGACGTTTCCTATTCTGTGTATTCATTCAGCAAATAATTTGAGTGCTCGTTATGTGCCAGGATTGTGATACAAAAGTGTATGAAATGCTCTTTGTGCCCTTAAGAAGTTTAAAATCTAGTGGAAGAGATGAAACATATGTATATACCTACAATATAAGTCAATATAACTGTTAGATTTCTTGATTATTGATGTCAAATTAGGCACAAAACTGAGAAATATGCAATTAATAGGCATTTCATTAAGTACCTTTTATTTGTTAGTTATTGTACTAGGCTCTGGGAATACAAAGGAAACAGTCCTTGACCTCAAGTAAGAGATTATAGATTCCAAGAGTGAGAGATAGAGAGAGGGAAAGCCTTCAAAGCTTACCAAACAAAGGCGGTAGAGGGGAGGTTGAGTGTCATATGTGAGGAGGGCCAAACTAGTTGAGAGACTTGAGTACAGGAATTTGGGTGGGATGGGGAGAGAGTACCATATAAACAGACTAGAAAGCTAGATTAGGGCCAGGTTATGAAAGGCTTCATATTTGATCCTGAAGAAAATAGTTTTTGCTACTTTTGTGGAAAGTGTTCAGCATCTAGTTTAAATATGAGAAAGGTCCTATTTCCAAAGTTGCATTGTATTGACTGTGTGAATCCACTAGTGGATTACTGACTCTTCTAAAATAAATTAGCAATGAATAAATGAAAAAAACCAACAACAACAAACCACCATTTACCTAAGTTTCTAAAAGAATCAAAACTGAACGACCTTCAAAGACCAGTGGAGAATGTGTGGTAGTATAAAAATATTGTCTGAGAGATGTATGACAAGAAAAGGAGGCAGATCAGCCATATAGGAAGATTGATGGCAGGTAGACAGGCCTTGTGCCACTTTGGTACCTATGCAGTGTTAAGAGACCTAGATGAAGGTACCTCCTCTCTCCCACCTCCACCCCTACTCCTTTCAACAAGTTGTATAGACCATCTATGGAAGATTTATTAGAGGATATTGACAGGATTCCTGTAAGATGAAAAGGAGTAGATGGAGTCCACTTCTTGCAACTTTTCTGTTTGGTATTTAAAACCCTTCACAATCTGGCTCCAGCTTATCTTTCAAGCTTGTTGTGCATTTCCCTTCATACATCCTATGTTGTAGCCTAGTTGGTCTGCTGAGTTGCTTCTCTCTCTCTCTCTCTCTTCTCTCTCTCTCTCTCTCTCTCTCTCTCTCTCCTCTCTCCCTCCCTCCCTCCCTCCCTCTCTCCCTCTCTCTCTCTCTCCCTCTCTCTCTCTCCTAGGCAGTGGAGTTCAGTGACTTGCCCAGGGTCACACAGCTAATAAGTGTTATGTGTCTGATGCCGAATTTGAACTCAGGTCCTCTTGAATCCATGGCTGATGCTCTAGCCACTGGGCCATCTAGCTGCCCCATGAGTTGCTTCTCAGAAAACAATCTTCCTTGGAGAGCAATTTGGAACTATGCCCAAAGGGCTATAAAAATGTGCATACCCTTTGAACCAGCAAAAGCACTTCTAGGGCTATATCCCAAAGAGATCATACAAATGGGAAAAGGACCCACATGTACAAAAATATTCATAGCAGCTCTTTTTGTGGTGGTAAATAATTGGAAATTGAGAGGATGCCGATCAGTTGGGGAATGGCTGAGTGGGTTGTGGTGTATGAATGTAATGGAATGCTATTGTGCTATAAGGCTGACTTCACAAAAACCTGGAAAGACTTTGTATAGTCTAATGCTGAGTGAAATGAGCAGAACCAAGAGAACGTTGTACACAATAACAGCCATGTTGTTTGGAGACTAATATTGATAAACTTAACCCTTCCCAGCAATAAAAGGATCTGAGACATCTCTCTGTGATGGAAAATGCTATCCATATCCAAAGAAAGAACCATGGAATTTGAATGCAGATCAAAGCATACTATTTGATTTTTTTTTTCCTTTTCTGTTGAGTTTTGTTTCCTCTTTCTGGTGCTTCCTCCTATTGGTTCAAATTCTTACTTACAACACACTGATATGAAAATATGTTTAATAGGAATGTATATGTATAGCCTATATCAGATTGTGTGCCATCTTGGGGAGGGTGGTGGGGAGGAAGGGGGAGAAAAATTTTGAACTCAAAAGCATATGGAAGTGATTGTTGATAAATCAAAATAAATTAATTTAAAAAATCAATCTGTAATTGCAAAAAAACCATCTTTCATCTCCTTGATTTGTGCCGTTGTATAGGCTGTACAACCCTGCCTGGTAGGATCTTCCTCCTCACTTCTACCTCTTGGAGTGCCTGGCTTCCTTCAGGGCTCTGTTTCAATACCACTTCAATGCTTCAAAGATTCTAGATTTAGAATTGGGGTTTTCTCAGCAGAGATACTGGAGCTGTTTGCCATTTCCTTCTCCAGCTCATTTGGAACTGAGGCAATCAGGGTTAAGTGACAAGGTCACACAGCTAATCGGATTTGAACTCAGGTCCATCCCCCCCACCCCCAAGTTACTTTGTATTTATCTTTGAACCTCCTGTGTTTTCCCTAGGATTCAAGCTCCTTAGGAACAAGGATGGTCTTGCACTTGTCTTAGTATTTCCACCACTTATCACAGTGCCTAATAGGTGGGTGGTGCTTGATAAATTCTTCTTGACTACACTGTTGGTTAAAGTACCCTCGTTAATGAGATCAGAAAGCCAATGAATTATTGAAGTAAGAAGCAGTGTAAAATAAGTGTTTCATGAGAGGTAGAAGAAGTGTTAGGTTAAAGGGAGGTGGGATGATCGTGGAAGGCTTCATGCAGTAGGCAGGAGGCATTAAAGCTGTAAGAATTTAACTATAGGGGAAGCTAGGTGGTGAAGTGGAGAGTGCCTGGCCTTGGAGTCAGGAGGACCTAAGTTCAATCCAGTCTCAGACTTGACACTTATTGCTGTGTGACTGTGGGCAACTTGCTTAACCCCAGTTGCCTCACCCGCCCAAAAATTAACTATGTAGCATTCTCAGGATCCCTGTTATGTCCCTTTAGATTAAACTAGTCTACTTTTTGCTCACCTGTGTGATCTCGAGCAAAGTTAAAAATATTAAAATATTAAAGTTGGAAGACATGTCAGAAGTCAAGTCTAACATGTCTAAAAAGCAATTTCAACTATAGTATGTATCCCTGACAGGTAGTCAGTCATCTAGCCTCTTTTTCCATCACCTATACTGCTTTTGGACTTCTCCATTATACTTTCTTCCCCAGGAAACTCATCACTGGGAAATCTCATTATCCTGCAAGATTGAATCTGCCTGGTACTTACATCTCATGGGTATCCTTTGCTCCTCCAGTTTTGACCTTCTGGTTAGTAGGCATGGCCTTGAGATCCATAGCCTCCATTTAAGAAAGGGACTTGATATAATCCTCTTATTTCTCATCATCTGCAATACTTTTGGATTTCTGTATCATTTCCCTATCATACCCTCACATTGGATGTATCTCCTACTCCTTCCTAACTCCCCCACCTCTACTTTTCAACTTCCTTTTGTGTGTGGCCTTCTCTTGTTAGATTGTAGGCTCCTTGAGGCCTTTTTTTGGGGGGGGGGGAAGGGTTGGGTTAAACTTGTATTTTCCTCACTAGAGCTTAGCACAATGCCTTGCAAGATGGCGAGCATTTAATACATGTTTGTTGACTGATCGATTATTGATTGAAATTAAAAGTTCAACAGCTTGTAATTTGCCTCTTGCCCCTTCCCCTTTTTTCTCTTCCCAAAATGGGACATTTTTCCTTTATTTCTATAGCACCCATCAGCCTTTTCACAGTCTTTGTCTCAGCAGTTATATTCTCCAGATATTCCCAGTCACTGGATGTAATCCTTCCAGGCCTGGTAACCTGAATTAACTGAGAGCAGTTAAATTCTTTTTTACCATTTTTTCATTTATCCTGGGGTTCCATTTGTTAAACCTTTTTTCTGTTTTTCTGAGTCTTTGAAGGTTATTGACCTTAGAACAGAAAATGGAAGTGAATCAAAGGTAGAATATTTCCATCTAAATGAGCAATTGCTTTCTATACCTTCTTTTGATTTTTCTCTTATCCTTAACATAGGGTTTTTTTCCATTTTTTTTGTGCTCTTTGTTTTGTTTTCTTTATACATCATTAGCTTCCATTCAACTTTACTGTATAGGACATGGGGTGAGGAACCTGGTGTGGTCCTTGGGTGCAGCCTTTTAACTGAGTCCAAGTTTTACAGAACAAATCCTGTTATTAAGGAGATATGTACCTTGAAGTTTGGATTCAGTCATAGGGCTCAACTTGAGGACATAGAAGGCCACATGTGACCTAGAGGCCCCAAATTGCCCACTCCTAGTGTAGGACCCTGCTGCCCTCTTTTGTTATTCATTATTCTTTATCTCTCTTTGTTTCTGTAAGATTCTGGATTTAGAATTGGTATTTTCTTGGCCAAGAGACTGGAGCTGTTTGCCATTTCCTTCTCCAGCTCATTTGGAACTGAGGCAAACAGGGTTAAATGACAAGATCACACAGCTAGGCAAATTTGAACTCAGGAATGTGTGGGACAGCAACTCTAAATCAATTAAACTCAGAGACTTCTCAAGGTAGAAGCAAAAGTTACTTTTTATTACAGTCTCGAGAGAAGGGGCAGTCTGCTCCCCTGGTACACTTCCAGGAGGAGAGAGGCAAGGCACAGAAAGTGAAATGAGATTATATACCCTAAGGCAAACAAACCTCCACCCACTGCTATCCCTTATTCACCTTGACTGGGGAGGCAGATTTACATTCTAGGCTCAGGGGCTGCGAGCACCAGCCCTGAAGTTAGGAGGACCCGAGTTCAAAGCCGGCCTCAGGCCAAAATGCTTGACACTTAAACTAGCTTTGTGACCCTGGGCAAGTCACTTAACCCCAATTGCCCCCCCAAAAAAAAGAAAGAAA